GGAGCTGCCTGGAAACCCCCCTGTGGCTTAAGCGAATCGTCACTATGCGAGTCTCTGCGGGCAAGACTCAATGACTCGCCAAAGACACGGCAGCCCACGAAGAGACCTAGCGAATTCGTGACCATTGCTATGAGATAGTTGATCAAAGATGTGGCATTCGCCGAAGTCACCTTGCGTTTGATCCTTGACTTACAATTCACCGACATACTCAGTAACTTGCTTTGAGGTCTAATAGACCAGTCACCATCTCGTTTGACAGCCTATCCTTTGATGCGAGGACGGAACTTCTCCCATAGTGATTTTAAAATATCCTGGAACGTAGCGCCATCAACCAGGAAATTACTTAGCGTTTCCCCAGATGTCTCACGTTGCCCCACCGAGCTTTCAATAATGGGCTTGATAACTAGTTGGAATTGCTCGGACGGTGGTGGAGATGCGGGTATCGCCGGCGCTGGTGCACGTTGTGGAACGCGCGAGCCTGGTGCCCGTATCGGCGTTGCTTGTCGAGGCGTATGCAGTTGACGTCTGGACACCGGCGAAGTTCGTTCTTGTGGTGAATCTAGTCGAGGAGAGATTCGAAGAGCTAGAGGCGACTGGACACGTGTTGGAGTACGAGCGCGCAGTGGGTATGGTGATACTCGCCGTGTATGAGCTTGTTGTGTAGACTCTCTAGCTGGCGCACTCACCCCTGGGGTAAGTGCCGACGAGGGAGTCGTTTGTAGCTGTGTCTGAGGCTGATGCAGTGACATGGCAACTGGCGCGTCGGGGTCGTGTGCGGGGCCTGGGGTGCGTGCAAGTGTGTAAGCTCCAGAAGATCGTAATGTAGATACCAAGTAGAACCTATCGTTGAAGATGCGGTGTGATGTTTGATAGGACGGAGATTGATGGCGTGATCGATTCAATCGAGCTGCTTCGGAAATTTGGAGTAGAACGCACAATACTGAAAGTCATAGATTTCGTCTCCATACACAGCCTCAACTCTAGAATATGCTGTGTATCCATCTTAACAGTTTGACTTGATTTTTGTATGAATTATGCTGACCGTCACTCCTTGGGTACTTTACCGACTTTACCTCTTAACATATATCTTCCGACAGATCGAAAAGTCATTCACTTTCGAATCTGCGGCTGAAGGCGCGAAGACAAAACTGCATATCCAGGTGTATGTATTGACTGTTAAAGCATGAGATACTTGCAAGATACTAACTTCTACAAAAACACACTACCTCTGTATCTGTGCATAGGCTCAATGGTGCATCTGACGCATTTTGAGCTTCACTGGAAGCCTCGCTGTATCTATGACACCAGCGACGAAGTGAACACGTCGCCTAATGTCCAGACCAACCAGCAGCCGGGCTTCAGTTGTGAAACCAGCGACACGGGACGGCGACCCCACCTTGGCTGACACCTGCACAACTGACGAAGACGGTGGTGCGATCTACACCAGTTCACGACTCACCGCCTGCAACTCGGCGGTGCGCCAGCGGGCTGTCAAAAATACTGGCGCTTGTCCCGCTACAGCGAGACCGTTGGGCGACGGACTGGGACCGCTTTTGTTAACCGGTCACTTGTCCCTTCAAGATATCCCACTCAGCACCACCAGACCCGAAATAACAGCAACATCATCGTCAATACAATCTCTTAGATAAAGCTTATCAGCTTGTACTTCATAAGTATCAAGAACACTACGAGATTATTAGCTACGCTGAACACGACACACCAGCACTCACAAGCACGTACACTCGACTGTGACAAATTGTCTCGGTTGCTACATGCAACTACACACGGCAG